GATGCGAGATCAGGTAGTTCTCGATAACCTCCCAAGAATAGACCACTAATAGTAGGTGCTTGTGATTTAAACTTTTTGTTGCATGGTTTTTGTGCGGGGGGAAACCCACGCGAGCACGGGGAGAACATGCAAACTCCGCACAGAGAGTGTCGATTGGCTCAGCTAGCGTTTGGACCAACAACCTCCTTGCTGTGAGGCACCTGTGTTAGCACTGAGCCACCGTGTCGCCCGAACTTAGAATTGAGGAGGAGGGAGAAGGGATGGCTGGGGGGGGGTTTCCAAAACGAAGATGAGGAATGAAGTTTAATCTGGATATTCATATTACATTTGGAAAGATCCGATTGGCTAGTTAGTGATTAGTGATAGGGATCAGCTGCAGTAAATCCTATCACGTGCTCCTCTCGAAATTAGTTTGTGAAACTTAAGCGCTATGCAAATCAGCTTGAATTGAATATTGCATGTTTTTGAATATGTAAACGAGGCATGGTTTGTTTTAAATATGGGCTGATTAGCATACTGTACACATGTATTTTATTCTTATGTTTGTGTTGTTTGGGTTTTTAACACAATCTGCTTCAGCAGCTCCTTTAAAAAATATTATGCCCAGGGAAAAAACATGACGTGTTCAATACTTATTTTCTCTGGTTCAGTAAAGGTGAAAAAATAAATAAATGAAAGAAGCAGACTATAAAATGTGTATCGTAACTGAAATCTAGCGTGACAAAGGAAACACAAGTGAATTTCAGATATTTTCTTAAGATTACAGACTTTAAATACTTTATCAAAAGCAAAAAATCTGAAATTGCCCTCTGCGTTGTTTTTTTTGCCTGCAGTGTCTTGCTTTAGCAAAGCAGTGTTTCATACATCTGATTCTGCGTTTGCGTTATTTAAACACTGCTTTGGGTTTATACATGTTAAATGTGTTGATTTCAATGTTAGTACCAGTTAATAAATGTCACAACCAGTTAACAGTACCAGTAAATCAGCGTGAATGCAACCCAGCATCAATCCCTGTGTATTCTTCACTTGAAATCACAATCGTTCTGAGTGTACAGTAGAAGACAAAAATATTAGCCCTCCTGTGAAATTCATTATTTTTCAAACATTTCCCCAAGTGCTGTTTAACAGATTATTTATTTATTTATTTTACATATTTTTGAACATGATAGTTTTAATATCTAATTTATTTTGTCTTTGCCATGATGGCATTAGAGTACATATTATTTTGCAAGATATTAGTATTTAAATTAAAGTGAAATGTAAAGGGTTAAAGTTAGAGTAATTAGGCAAGTCATTGGACAACAGTGGTTTGTTCTGTAGACAATTTTTTTTTAAATATACTACTTAAGGGGGTTAATAATATTGACCATAGCAGATAAAAAAAAAATGTTTCATTAATTTGTTCATTTGCCTTCGGCTTAAACCGCCAACTTATCCAACATATGTTTTACACAGGGGATTTCCTTCCAGCTGCAACCTAGTACTAGGAAACACCCATGCACCCTCATTCACTATGGCCAATTTAGTTTATTCAATTCAAATATAACTCATGTGTTTGGACTATGGGGGAAACTGGAGGACCCGGAGGAAACTCGCATCAACACCAACACAGGGAGAACATGCAAACTCCACACAGAAATGCCAACTGGTCGGGTCTCGAACCAGCGACCTTCTTGCTGTGAGGTGACAGTGCTGTAAATAAAAAGATTTTCTTTCATCCAATCTAAAACAAATCATTTGAATCTTCATAAAAAGAAAAACATATAATAGGGAATATTAATTCATAGAGATTTTGGGAATGTCAACGGTGAGTGTTTGTGTGTGTGTTTTTTTAATTGGGTATGGCACAAAAATAAAAAATTAAATAATGTGTTTTTTCTCCAAGCTTTTTAATAAAGTATTTGCAAATGGAGAGACTCCAAGTTATTTATGGTATATACATATATAACAAATACTATGGGGTGGAATTGTTAGCACTGTCGCCTCACAGCACAAAGGTCACTGGTTTGAGTCCCGGCTGGGTCAGTTGGATTTTCTGTGTGGAGTTTGCATGTTCACCCCATTGTTGGTGTGGGTTTCCTCCGGGTGCTCTGGTTTACCCTACAGTCCAAACACATGCACTATACTGTAGGTGTGGATGAAGGTAATTGACCGTAGTGTGTGTGTGTGTGTGTGTGTGTGTGTGTGTGTGTGTGTGTGTGTGTGTGTGTGAAGGTGAGAGTGTATGGGTGGGATGCAGCTGGAAGGGCATCCGCTGCGTAAAACATATGCTGGAATAGTTGGCGGTTCATTCCGCTGTGGCAACCCCTGATAAATAAAGGGACTAATGTGAAGGAAGAATGAATGAATGAATGAATGAATGAATGTTTTTATATACAGTACCAGTGCAATTATGTAGAATAAATTACCAAAATCATTTAAAGCAATAAAAGACTTGGGGAATTTTTTTAAAAGGTGGTTGTTTGATAATTCTAGTTAGTTTGTATGATGGATTATGGCGTTTTTATTGTGATTTGAATTGTGCATTTGTATTGTATACAATTATTTTTACTCTTGCTTTACACATCAGCTCTTCTGTATTTTCAACAGAGCTGATCATGATATAAATAAGCCTAGGCATTTGTGTTTTTTAATTATTTTTGATAAGGATTTTTTTTTTTAGTTTTACTTTAAGGTCTAACACTTAATTTTAAGTCCCAATTCATGCTATTAAAAACAATTAACTATTTATAAGAATAATATATAACAGTATTTCCTCTAGGATTTGTTCCAGCTGTGGCGGCAGGCCTTTTTAACACAGATCTACTAACTACCTGTGGTGTTATTTCATAAACAAATGTTGTGTGGTCAGTATTACAAGTCGAGATCGTATTTATGTAATACCCTACGAGCATGCGAATCTCTTTGCTTCCGATTTTATCTGCTCGTCCACAAAACGTCTTGCACGCCCCCTCAAATATACGCTGCTCAATCGCAGATCTTCTTGTGCGCTCTCAAATAAACACTGCTGAAGTGCGATTTAGTGCGTTTATGTAACGAGTATGTCTCCAACATTTATAAGATTTGCTAGGAATATTTATAGATGTCTCTAATAGACCTACAGAGCGGTATTAATGCGTCCTGAAGTAAAGTGAAACGGCTATATGTCGAGTTTGCTAGCCTCTGTCAGTCAGCCAGTCAGTCAGCACGTAGCCTTAAAGGGTTAAACAAACAGCGCACAGCACTACTACAGTTACAGAAAGGTTCACGCTGTTATAATTCCCTTACCTTTTAATACGTTTGGTGTGATTATCATCCGCTATTAAAAAACCCCACGACTGAATAATTTGAATTAGAAGCTATAATGTAGCCATGGCGGGATCGCTTTTGGCGTGACGCCCCGCCATGGAAGAATGAGTGTAGCAGAAACCATGTATAAGACTATTAGCTCAATAAACTGCTTGTTAACAGTTAATGTAATAAGGTTTGATTTGGGTAGGAATTGGGATGTAGAATAACATCATACTTTATAGCTATTAATAAACAGTTAATATAGCAATAATAGGCAGGTAATAAGCCACTAGTGAATAGCATGAATTGGAACTCAAAATAGTCAATTACCGACTCTTATTTTGAAAAGTTTCTTAAAGGTTCAGGACACCCTGGAGAACTTTTTTTTATATTAACAAATTTGTGTGTGTTGAGCATCAGTTAAGATAATGTTAGCACCTGTCAGCTTTAATTGTGGGGAAAACTGGATAATTTTGAGCTTTTGTCAGCTAATTTCAGCTTCCGGGTTTAAAATGATTTTTGGGGCGGGATCAAAATCGGCGACGTAGCGCAGAACTGCAAGTGCAATGATGACGCGTCGGTTTCTCATTATTATTCATAGCGGAGTTTTCCTATCCTATGAGAAGAGCCGGCTGCTTAATTATTCATGAGACCTGCCAGTGTCAAGCCCGAGCTGTGAGACACGTCACAGACCCACGGCACATAGTATTTAGCTATTCATGAAGGCTCGTATGCGTTTGTTTCCATGATCCATGGGGTTTATTGCATGTTTGCCCCCGCGATCTTGTCAGGGCCGATCATACAGCAAAGATGTGTGTGTGCTGCTAGCATTTTTGTCAGGAGAGCTGCACGAGAATTAGAGAATGGCGGACGCTGTCTTTTATCAGGAGTTCGTTCACATTCAGACACATTACTGTGCTGCTGTGTTTGCCTAAATCCTCCAGATTACCAGCAGGGTTAATGGTTAAAATAGACAGGTCAGGAGACCTGCTGCACTGAGTCTGCTGGATTCGGGGGATTGAGGGAGAAGTCCTCATTTATAGGGTTTACATGAATGCTCTAATCTTTATAATGATATAAATTGTGGTTATGTGTATATGAAATTACGAATAACAAATGTAGCAGGGCATTAAATCACTGTTCATTTCTTTGCATTTTAACTTTGTAAACTATAAACCCCTGCTGGCTATGCCCACTCCTGCCCGATGCTCGCGGAGCTCCACGCCCATTAATCATGCATCTTTTGAAAAAATTCTGAAGTAGACTTTAACCGAAAGTGGGGGGTGTCATGGCCCTTTAAATAATGTCCAATAAAGTTCAGATTAATTTATGCTCTGTTAAACAACTCTTGGAAAATATACTAATAATTGAATTATTTGCCCCCCTTGTATATTTTTTCACTTATAAACATAATAGTTTTAATAACTAATTTAATTTATTTTTGCCATGATGACAGTGCATAATATTTTACTAGATATTTTTTAAGATGCTAAAATTTACCTTAAAGTGAATTTAAAGGCTTAACTAGGTTAGGGTAACTAGGCAAGTCATTGTATAACAGTGGTAGACAATCGAAAAAACAAATATAGGTTAAGGGGGCTAATAATATTGACCTTAAAATGGTTTTAAAAATAAATAACACTGCTTTCATTCTAGCCGAAATAAAACAAATAGGTCTTTCTCCAGAAGAAAAAATATTATAGGAAATACTATGAAAATTTCCTTGCTCCGTTAAACATCATTTGGGAAATAATTGAAAAAGAAGTTCACAGGAGGGTTGTGTGTAAAAAAATAATACAAATTTCACAGAAGGTTAAATAATTTTGTCATACTACAGTATATACCATGCCATCTCCTGTTGAATCGACACACACATACGTATGATCGTGTATTTTTGAAAGTAACCTCAGTGCATGTTCTCTCTTCCTCACGTAGTTCAATCTCATCTCGATTCGCTCCTCTGGACGGAGAGTCTGAACAGCACAAATAAGGAAAGGCATTAGTCCAAAGGTAGCATCGAGAAACGAAGGCGTAGTTGATGCATGAACCACCATCATTGCTTGTTTTTCCTCATCGCTAATTCTCACGCAGAGAACTCTTTCTGAGCCGTCTGGACTCCTGCTGCGCCTTTCTGACCAAAAACCAGCTCTCTCAGCCAAGCTTCAGCTTTCTGAATTGTAAAACCCCAAAAAGTGGTCGATCTTCAGGTTACTTGTTTAAGGGTTTGTTGATTTTGAGAGTCTGGACGGCTGTGGTGTCGTCGGCTGTGTTGTGGTCCGCTGTGATCTTTTTAGTGGTTTCTTTTTTGGAGATGTCGGGCTCCCAGAGGAAGAACTCGTGTAGGAGTGTGTTCACGGTTTCAGGACACTCCATCATTACCATGTGGCTGCCCTCCTCGATCACTTTCAGGAACGCAAACAGGAGGATCTGAAATCATAATAGGGTATTTTAAGTTTTATTTTGTACGATTAATAGTCAAAAATGATATGTATTTGAAATATTTCAGTGAACATGTTATGTTTTTTTTCCTGGGAATAATATTTCTAAAGGAGCTATTGACTTGGAATTAAAGCAGATTTTGGTAAAAACCCAAACAATACAAACATAAAAATGAAACTAAACTAAAACAATCTGAAAAAGAATTGTGTAATAACAATGAAATGACAGAAGGAGAAAGTAATGAACTACTGAAATGTATTTAATACTTTATATAAAAGGCTTTTTTGGTGCTGCACCTTAAAGACGCCTCTCGTATGGAGAATGAAGTCACATGCATTGCTTAGGTGTGACTTCAACAGAGTCAAAATCTTCATGCTTCTGTGGGTCTTATCTAGCAAATCTGAGCTGTAAATTGTATTTTATATTTATTCGAGTCAGGCTAGGCCATTCTAAAGCTTGCTTTTCTTTCTCTGAAAGCATTTGAGAGTCTCCTTGGCTGTGTTTTGGATCATTGTCTTGCTGAAATTTCCACCCTGGTTTCATCTTCATCCTCTTGCTAATGTAGATGTTGGACTGAAGCAGCTGATATTTATTTACACTGAGAAAGGGCAGAGGGTTGCTGAAGAGCTACTGAGATTTCAGCTGCTGTCTGGGCTTTCCATGTCTTTCTGCACCTCCCTTTCTTCATGTGTTCAATACGTTTTCCCTGAGTCATTTAATTATATCACGCATAACTTTATTTGTAAACTAATTAGTTTTTTTTTTTTTTTGCATATATGAAAATTTCAAGTCAACAGCACCTTTAGAAATATATTTTCTGAGAAAAATGGTGACGTGTTAAATACTTATTTTCCCCACTGTATATTATAAAACAAAAGATTAATATATAATGGACATTTCTTTTAGAGGAAAATTGCTGTACTATTTATGAAAATGCATATTTTAGGAACCGAAAATAGAAACGCAAACAGGAGGATCTCAAATACAAACAATTTATTTCTTAATAGAGTATCATATTTTTATATTTTATTACATATTTATATTATATTATTATGGGGGGGGGGTAATTCTGACTTAAACTGAGTATTGTATATATGTATCAAAAGCTTAATATATAATACATTTTTGTTCAAATGAAAATTGAAAATATATTATGAATCAAAAACTAAATATTTCTTAAAATTAAAATTGTGCTACAATATATTTTATGATGTATTTGTCTTTCTGTTTTCACATTATAAATTTTGTTATTTCCTTTATGGGTTTAGTTGAACAAGAAAATAAAATATAGTAATTAACAATAAATAAATTGCCTTAATTCTTAATGTATACAGAGCAAATATAGAGTATATGTATTGGTTTACAATCCAGATTATCCACAAATTAAAGGAAAATAAATATAAAGCAAGTAAAAGGTATATTTTAAAGTTATCTTATGTTACATTTAATATATAAAGTTATTTATTAATTTGATATTTTAACATGCATTTAATTACATAATTTTTACATTTTATTTATAAGTTTCTTTCAGAAACATAACTTAACTATATATATATATATATATATATATATATATATATATATATATATGTATATATATATATATATATGTATATATATATATATATATATATATATATATATATA